TCTCAAAACAAAAAGAAAAGCAATGGAAGAGAGAAAAAAAAAAAGTTCTGATCCAGGATTTGGAGTGTTGCATTTAGGAACCTGAAAATTAAAACGTGTCCAATTTGTGAGTGTTTTTTAACTGAACCATTAACACATTTTAGAAAACGTACGCAGCAGCAACTTCATCTGGCACTTGCTGAAAGCGGGACTTTTAAATTTTTCTACCATGCATGTCGCTATTCTAGTGGCATTTAAATACATTTTGCTAATATCTCATTTAAAACGTACTGTCTTGTAAATAGCCCTTACCATGGCATTTTTAGAGCCTCGGCTCTCCTAAAAGCTTTACAGCAACTAACTCCCAACCAGCGCAGAAAAACTTGCTGTCAGGGCAGAACAGAACACAAGAGCACAGAGCGCACCACATTCATCACGCAGGCTACGGGGCGAGCACCCATTGTTAGCAGCTGCATGCCTCGCGCTCCTAAGAAAGCACGCTGCCAGGGTAAGTTATTAGAAATGCATTTAGCTCAGCAAAAATGAAATGTGAACATGGTATTATGAGCCTGCACAAGAAGAGAACTTAATAAGGGAGAACTGCATTAAAGAATGGCTAATCCCATGCGATATATTTAGGGTTTGAACTCGACTGCATCCTACGTAGCTTCTGAATCCACTTTTACATCGTACCAGACATCCATTTGTCAGCATCAGATTTACGTTTTCCATTTTTTTCCCCTCCCTCTTGCAGAAGAGCAGAAATCAATTATGCTGGAAACAGCCAGCCAAATGGTCAGTCACACGCCCTATTCCTTCAGCTTTCATTGGGGAGATACAATCACAAAGGGACACAACCCCGCCGACGTCACGCAAAGTTCGGTTCCCATACTTAAGAGGACCCTGCCAACGTGGCGGTTTTCCACTCACGGAACGCTGATCCCCGGCGTTTTGTTCAATGCAGAACAAGTGAGATCCGCAGGGCACTTCCCTGAGGGGTGGCACGTGACGGCTGTACCGTCAGCCCCAGGAGGGACGGCAAACACCAGCAGCGGTGACAGCAGAGCCGCTCCTCCAGACCAAGGCAGCAGCTCAGCCTCGCGGTGACTCAGAAGAAACACCGACTGCAGAGGACAAACAGCATCTGAAGAGACCGATGGCTCCTGGAGACCCTGCTCTGCCCCCCAGGAACCCCACTGCCTCCCGAATGGAACATGGGCTGGAGAGGGTGGGTGGTTGGACTTGGTGATCTTAGAGGTCCTTTCCAACCTAACGATTCTAGGTGTTCCCCTCGCTGGCTAGTTTGGCTCTTGTGACCAGTCCTGAGAGCAGGAACATTTAGTCATCTTCCACGGTTTCACCCCTCCTACCAGACCAAGAAACCTTTCCTCATGGGCTGCTCCCTAGAGAGAACAGACTTACTTTTCCTTGAGGAGACCAGACGTTCCTCCTTAGACGTTCTACTCTCAGCCCTGTTGCCAGAGCACCACGAGAAGATGCACACAAGATGGTGTTTTGAAAGGACAGAGGAAACCTGCCTGCACCTCTCTCTGTTATGATGCAAAGGCCCTTCCTCCGAGCGGGAGGCAGAGCCCTGCGAAGGCTTCCCAAAAAAGCTCGGTGCCAACCCAAACCTCTGACCGATGGGGATTCATCAGCCTGCTGCCATTTTTTTGGTTAAGATTTGTTTCATGCTTGTTATCTTTGGGTTCCACACACATTCATATACGTCTGTATTTCACGTATATCTAAGGTATAGATATAGAAATACCCTTTTTACACCATTAGCAGGGCACTGCACATATGCACAGATTTTTTTTATGGTGCTTTAAACATTTTGGCTTGCTAAGGGTTTTCCAGGGCAGACTCAGAATATTCTACGAGCACATACTGCGACAGCCACAGGACGCACGCCATAACCCACGCAGAAACCGAGAGTCTTCCAGCTTCCCAGCTCCTGATTACGTGTTGGCACCTGATGATTGACTGAGACACCCTGAACCCCTGGAAAAATCAAAGCACCGAAAAGCCAGTCTGCAGCCGGAATGAGCGGAGGCCTAACAACAGCAAATTGTGCTGGAGATGAAACACAAAACTCATCCAGATAATCATATGGTCTGGGGGTTACTTCTTTGTGACAGAGACAATATAAACTGATTCGGTTGCCACAGAATTTAAATTAGAAAAAAGTTTAAAGATGGAAACCCGAGAAGATTACCCCAGAGCACACAATGAAATAGTAATAATAGCTTACGTACTCTATGGCTACTCTCTACCACAGACATTAAGCAACAATTTATAAATACTATGAAAAATAACTGGCTTTCATAGGCGAGACATTGTATGTTCTGGCTTTTGAACGGAAGCAATTCAGTTTTTATTAACTGTATAATTTTGAGGTATCAGTAAAACTGGAGTAAAAAAAACCACCCAGAGTAGTTTTCTGGTTTACATACAAATCTTTAGAAGAAAAACAAAGTTATAAAGTACATTAACCTTATTTTCTCATTTATTTCTGCCAAATAAAATGAAATAAAACTACTGGTCCCGATTTGGGCAAAGAAAAGGCTTAGCTCGAAACGCCTGCTTTAAGAGGTTGGCTGTGCCCAAAGGCCTACTTGAAATACAGGTGCAAAACAATCTTTACCAGAAAGCCACGCTCTTTTTTTCCTGATCATGGCCACTAATGAAAGCTTTTGATTCTTGTTTGTTCAGGGGAAAAAAAAAAAGTGACCCAGAGCACCTCTGCTGTCCCTCCAGTTGGCACCTTCTGAAGGGACCTTCAGGGATCACAGGGACAATCTGGCCAAAGTCTGCACTTCTTAGACTAAACGGGTCCAAGACCTTTCCTCCTCGGCTGCAAGCTAATATTAGGAGAATAACGTTCTGGAAAAAAAAACCTGACGATCTTCGGGAGAGGAGAAGCCTTAACTGGCATTTTTACCTTGGGAACAGAATATAGGAGGGTTTGACATGTGGAAAGGACATTCCCTTGAATCCTGAAAGCGCTTTTGCCATTAGGTCTCAGCTTTTAGCACACATACGTGCACACATGTCTACACGTGACTTATTTACACTTCCCTTTTTTTCTTCAGGCAGCTTTACAGACCATAATATGATCAGAAAATAATTCCTTACCTGGAGATATTATATAGAAGAAGTCCTTAAACTCATCCATCCAGACCTCTGCCAGTCTCCGGTTGTTCTTGTTGATGACGTGCCCCGTGCCACCCGGGAAGGTGTAAGGTGTGGCCTTTCGGAAGACGTGGCCAACGTGCGAGCAGGTGACGATCTCCAGGGAGCCGCCGCACTGCCAAATCTGGAACGAGAACCCCAGGAAGCGTTGGCTACAGCCAGGCCAACCCACGCCGAGTCCATGGCGGGGGGGGCGACAGCGGCTGCCTCCTGATGCATCTCCCCTGTCACCACTCAACGGGGAACGTCAAGCAGAAGCTTAAGGGGAGCAGCAGGGGCAGGACTGAACAGCGATGGAAGGCACAGACTGGGACTGCAACGGGACGGTTGTGCGAACGGCTCACGGGGCTCTGTGTCCCCACAGCATGAACACGCACAAACCACTGTCTCAGAAAGGGGTCACCCTACGAGGGGATAAGTGTCAGGTGTGGAGGTTATCTCTGTATTTGAGATTTTATAACATTTAAAGAAATAGAGAAAAACTTTTACTTTTAAAAATATATATATATGCACATCTACTCTTCAAGCAGAATCATGTTCACGACCACCACGAGCAAAGGCACAGCAGATCTTGGTATCACAGCCAGCCTCAGAAAGCAGCAAAGCACAGGTACTCTGAACACCACAGAGCCACGGAAGTGAAACACAGATGCAAAATGTCTGTTCTCTGGTTCATACGCTGGGGAGTGCCACCATCAAAGAGAACAACAAAAAAAAAAGTTATAGATCAAAAAGAGAATTTGATGAACTTCGAGATGCAGACTGTCCCTTTCCACTACTGGAGCCAAAATCTAGACCCTTGAGTAAGCTCGGTGCCTGCAATAGGACTGCACAAGTATGAACAATCATATAATCCTGGACTTTGATGCCCTGTTGTTAAATGAAGTAACATATTTTCTGTCAGATCACTGGAGTCTTGGTATGATAGACATCAGTTCATGGACTAACCATCATCAGTTCATGGATTAACCATCTTTCTAGGCTCTGTAAAGAACTAGAGAAGAAACTAAAGACGGCTGAAGGTCCAAGTTTGCAGAACTGGAGGCATAACCTAGGCAGCCGGGTGACCGACGGGGGCAGAGCAAGATTTCCATCGGATGCTTGCAGGGTTACAAAGCTTCGCTGTTCTGCCAGACCACATCGATCCTGTGGGATCCACCCTTCACTAAGGTTCACTGACATTTTTGGCAACAACAAAGGGACCACCAACCGCCCAGCTCCTTATTTAGGCTCGTCCCACCCTTTGCTTTAGTCTCCTCCTAAGCTGCCAGCAGGACTAGGATTTACAATACCTCCTGGTAATAAAACACAGAATTTAAGAGCCACTGGGTGTTTTAGACAGAAACAGTCTTGTAATTAGGGCTCCTTGACACAGACAAAAGTTACCATAGCAACTTAATGCAGCTTTTATTTAATTAGGGCTAAATCCTTTTATATAATTCCATCAGCACGCCAAGCGACGTACCCTGTCGGGAGAAGCAATGACAACATCGCAACATTCTTGTGTTTAACAGCTCAAAGACAACCGGTCGGCTCAGGTGAACCTTGAGGCTGACGGACGCCAAGGAGCACGGGCCGGGACCGAAAGCAGCCCCCACACAAAGTGAAACAGCCCCTCCTGGGACGTTTACCAAGCGCCCTGGGAGTAACTCACCGGACAGGGGGCAGGAGCGAGCACGTGCGATTAATGAGCGCACCCACGGTCCCTGCATGCCCCCCGCCCTGGGCTGCTCCTGCTCCCCCCCTCCCACTACTCTCCCACGCTACCATTTTTGACAATTTGTGTTCCTGCACGCTCCTTAAAGCGCATTTTCGGCCGCCCTTGGTACAGCCTGCTGTCTAACACAGCTGTCACAGGCATGCACCCTGCTCAAAAGAAAAGGACTTTTATCCTTTGGTAAAAAACCCAAACAAATCAACCTTCCTGAATATCCCCTGGTAAAACAAATACTTTCCTCAGGTTCATAGAATGGTGAAGGACTGTGGGATTCCAGAGCTCCGTTCACCACACAGACGGGACATGGGAACACATTCAGTCACTCGTCATTGCAGCTCTGGGGAACCCCAGAGCTGTCCCTGACCCCTGGCTGTTGAAGAGCTCTTTGTAGACGACACCTCAGGTGTTCAAGACCTGCCGGCAGCTCTTTACCCACACTGGTGACTGCTCCATGTAATACTCCAAGAGGTTTTTTTGAGAGAAACATTGCCATTAAATTTCATTGCAGCCCTTTCCATTGTAACATTCAATATATTTTTTAATCCAGCAAAACTTCCAGGGATAGAATTTACCTGATCCTACAGCCTGGGAATCTGACATGTCAATGAACTGTATCTTTCCTCCAACATGCCTAGATTTTGCTGAGCAGACCAACGATGTTCGGAATTATTGCTTTACTACAGTCCTCCTGGTCATCTTGCTTCTCTCTTCCCAGAAAAAGACCCACAACCGGAGGCAGTGTCTCACCCCAGACTGCCACGGGGAGACTTTCTGCCCACCCAAACCTGCCCTCGGCAAACCTCCACTGTGCTGAGCACCCGCTTTACTGACCTCCCACCCACTGGAACAGGCAATAAAGGCCCCGACAGTGACTAAATGCACCGAGGGACTGAAGACAGCCAGACTGCAAATATTCTGATACAGATCGATGGATCTCATCTAAAAAAAAAAATTTAACTCCAATTTTCACACTGAATTATTCATAAACCAGTTATTGTCACATCATCATTTTTAAGGCTGAAGGTGTCTTCCTTCCCTTCTCTGAAGTTTAACCCCTCTCCTTCCACCTGAATGATTTCCCCAAAATCAGATATTCTTCCAACCACGGTACTTCAGTTCTCTCTCTGCATCTTCCAAGCCAGCACATTCCAGGAGTTTATTCTCCACCTTTCATGAAAAGTTATTTAGTGAAAAAAACCCAACACCCAGCTGCAACTTTACACTTAAGAAACTAACGGCGACCTGTCCCCAGCCTGGCATCTCGTCCTTCAGCACCACCCATTTGCCCACCCGCCAGCTCCTATCGATCTCCGCCGGCTCCTGACTCAGGAGGGAACTTCCAGGGTGCCCCTTACCGACGTGTTCTGGTGAAGACCAGACCAGCACATCCGCCGCATCTCCTTGGGCTGGAAAACAGGCTGTCCAATCCAGCACGTGATAATTTACCTTCCACAAGCCCATCTGAGACTGACCCATTTGCTGTTTATCTTTTTCCTTACAAATATTAATTCTTTCAAAATTCGTGGTAGGACACTGCGCGCCATGGAATTAAATACAAGGCTTGTGTTTGCCCACATAATTTATCCCTTTTTAAGCACAGGCATTAATTATTTGGAACTACCTTTGATTTCACAGACGTTTTAAAAGCATTCTTGTGTAGAACAAGTGCATTAAACTCCGTCTGATCTCTGTGCAGCCCACTGTCAGGATTTTTTTCCCTCTTCCATCATTTTTGAACACTAAGTCATAGAACCACAGAACAGTTTGGGCTGGAAGGGACCTTAAAGACCACCCAGTTCCAACCCCCTGCCCTGGGCAGGGACACCTCCCCCCCAGACCAGGCTGCTCCAGGTAAGCTGCTTCTGCAGTTAATCCCTATAAAGGGGAGTTTTACGGACAATGCTTACTGGTTACACCTCATGCTCGGGGGTATCATTCCCTTTTATGACAAAATATGTAAAACTAACTCCAAATGAGAAATAAGACTCTAAAGTTTGGAGTAAAATAAAACTAAAATCTCAGGTTACAGAGATATAAACACTGACAGCAAATGTTTTACATGTTAAGAATTCCATTTACTCCATTTTAGAAAATACGTTTCTTCACATAAAGGGGTGCTTTTGGTCCACGTGTGTGTTTACTGATGAAGGTGTTCGACTAAACATCACCCATGTACATGCACAGATCAAAGCTATAGTAAAAAAAAAATCCCCAAAGATTACTGCAAACACGAAGGTAACACGTAAGCACCGTTATGGCAAATGAGTTTAACTTGTTTGTTGCTATGCAGTGATGCGCAAGGAGGTTTTGGGTTTTCTCCCTATTTATTCACAGAATCTCTGTGAATAAATAGGGAAAAAAAAGAAATCCTGAAAATTCTCAACACCAAAGATCTCTAATGAAATCAACTGAACTGGTGTATCTTGAATGCTTTCCCTATAGAAACATAAGAATCCTGACATACAGAAAAATTAATGCAGTCCAAAGAAAGGGAGAAGCGTTGCATGCTTTAAATGCAAGCACACAAACACATTTTGAGCACAATTTGTGAGCAAACTGCACTCCTAAAATTAGTTCATATAGTCAAACAGCTAAGGAGAAGTACAGAGGGACATTTTCAGTCTGTTTGCCAGGTGACTCCGGATTGATACACCCCAAATTCCCCAAATCCTACTCCCCAACGGGCAAAATTCACTTTGGTGTCACCGGGTACTTCTGAAAATCATCTCAGGCGCACCCACAACCCTTCCAGCCTCGCCAGGAGCTACGTGCTGCTGCGCCCCCGGCCACCCAAGTCACCGCTTCTGCTGAAACCGTCGACCTGAAGGTGTCTAAAGGCTCCCTCGCACCCACCGCGCGGCAGCAGAAAGCCGAGACCTCCCGAGCGCTCGGGCTGCAGAGGTGCTCGTGGTAACCCTTGGTGCGGATCTGGGGAAGCTCCACCTCAGCACGGCCACCAGCGGCCTCGGCGGGGCTCGCCTGCAGGCCGCAGCGCGGTTTGGCCGTCCCCGCTTCCGCGCACCCAGACCCTCCCGTTTGCCGGGCTCTATCGAGTGTTTCTGAGGACGGGATTCTACACCAAGTTACAGGTGGACTGAACATCGTTGCTCCTCACTCATTTTCTACAGGAATTCCTACAACAGCCAAACCCAGAAATCCCAGAGACCAGGAACAACGTGTCACCAGCGCTTAGGAAACACACACGGAAACATCTGCACGCCCGCTCTGCGCTTCGGACAGCT